GGCCCATACAGCTAAAACACAGCAGGTAAAAAAACGGGAGTCGTCTGGTGTGTGCCGGCTGGCAGCAGCGGTTCCCTTTTGGCAGGAGGTCTCAGTGGTGGCAGCAGCTGTAGAAGTAGGCACCGCTCCTCTGGCCCAGGTCGACACCTTTCTCCTCTGGAAGACAGCAGGGGCGGCAGGCTGCCAGCACATCTGCACCTCCATGCCACGTGCAGCCCAAAAGCTGCTGGTGCCAGGACTGGGCCCCAGCAGGTCCCTTGGGGAGGGGTTTGGTGTCCACGCAGCGAAGTGGCAGGGTTCATGGCCATGGCACAGCCCAGGGCTGGAGGCGTAGCTGGGCTGAGCATGCCTGGACAGGCCTGGTGCACAGCTGAGCGCCGGTCCTGCAGCCAGGCAAGGCTCCTGGCTGCCTGTTTGCCAAAGGCCACCCACAGCCCAGCTGGGGTGGAGGTGCTGAGCTGAGCCTGGCCTCAGCAGGTACAGGGGTGCTGTGATGGGGCCCAAGCTCCGCAGGACAACCACTGGCATGGAGCCACAGTAGCCCCAGGGAGGGTGGGGGCGAGGAAGGACCCTGCCAGACCCCACAGTGCTCGTCCTCTGTGCCCTCCCCAGGGGCACATGCACCCCTGGCACAGGAGAGGGTTCCTGGGGAAGGACAGATCCTGCTTGCTCACCTGTCATCACCTGGAAGGCGGTGAATTGGACGTAGTCTTCGGCCACCTTCTGGAACAGCTCATCTGGGGGGGAGAGTGGGCAGGGTGAGTGTGGGCAGCCCCACTGCCAGGCAGAGACCCCCCCCGCCCCTGCTTGGGTGGAGGCATGGCTGGCAGAGAGGGGGCTACTCACCCACGCTCTGGCCCGTCTTGCTGGAGGTCTCGAAGAGCTCTGCCTTGATCTCTGAAACAATGGCCCAGGTTAGCACCTGCGGCTGCAGGATGCGTCCCTGCAGGCTCAGCTGCCCCCGGAATCACCCCTTGGGCACAGCCACCGACAGCGGGCTGGCAGGGGCCCAGGGCAGGGCTCCACACTGCCGTCCCCTCGACCCAGCTGGCCACATGCCTGCCCGTGTCAGGACATGCCATGCCTGGGGAGGTCCCTGGCAGAGCCAGGGCCTCACCCACCACGCAGGGAGCCCCAGCGCCTGCAGCCACCGGATCCACTGCAGATCCAGGGTGAGGGCAGAGCCCCAGGGACCTCCATCCCTCCTTGCCCCCCACCCACTGGGTGCTGTGGAAGCCTGGGAAGGGCCAGCACTGCCCAGCCACGAGCATCTCAGCCCCATGCAGTGCCCGGCCGTACCGTCAGCGTAGTCCTGCACGTCGTGGAAGTCAACCCCCCTCTTCCTCCTGTCCTCCTCCAGCAGGTCGCTCTTGGTGCCGCACAGGTAGATCCGGCAGCCCTGCAGCAGACAGAGGGGCAGGAGGGACGCACCCGCGGGCCCGGTACCACCACCGGCCCCCCTGCCCCTCCGGTGAGGTTCCGCAGCCCCCCAGGTCCCCCAGCCCAGCCGTACCTCCTCGCAGTTCTGCAGCTCGTTCACCCAGAACTTGGCTCGCTGGAAACTGCTGCTGTCGGTGAGATCGGGAGGAGAGGGGTCAGGGTCTGCCCCCTCCCTCGGGCACCCACCCCCGCTGCAGCACCCTACCCA